ATTCAAAAGTCGACATGTGGGTGGTTCTTTGTAAACAAATGAAGGTTGCCGGAAACTGAATAGTTAGTGTTATAATACTGGACTTCTGGGGTGTAATAATACAGTGTACAGTGAGGAGTTGCAGACCACAACCACGCATGAAGACCTGAGACTTGTGAATGCTTGAAACAGTTTATAACTGCCTAGTTGTAATTTGCCTGTGGTTCTATTTTACAAACACCAAATATGCATTAAAACACACAGTGGAAAGTATCTTTCCAGTACCACTCTTCACAGCTCCATCAGAGCTTTCTCCAATTGAACTGGATTCCCTCCAGTAGACTTTCTACCAGACCAATCAGTGAACAGAAGAAACTGTGAATGATTTTGCTATTTTAATTTGTCTGTGGTTCTCGCATTGGCAGCAGAGGAAGTGAACATTCATGTTATAAATATTAGTGATTTGGTCAAATTTAAAACTTTTAACACAGTCCATCCTCCACTAAGCAATCGTTTCTCAGTAGCCAAGGACCCGGGCCTCTGTATGAAGCAAAAGGCTTGTTTTTACCAATCCTATGAAATGATTCCAAAATGCCACAGATTGAGATTCCATGGGAAGCATTTAGATGATACATTTATATTCCCTATTGAAAGCAACAAAACAATTTGTAAACTAAATTAATTGGCATACTTTCTTGCAAAAAAACAAAACAAAAACAAACACTGCATGTATTTTCATTTTTACAAGTCCAGATCTGCGGTCCCCACCATTTTCTTGATTAATGTGCTCTAATGTTTCAAGGATACAGTCTGTACTCCACGGCGCCTCGCCATCTGCAGCTTCTTTATACGTTTGTGTGGGAGACAGGAATGAGCATTTTGTGAGTTCATGAGTTTTCAGTGTGTTACAGGCATCTGTGAAATTATTGCAAAATCGTAATTAAATTAACTATCAACGATAATTTTAAGTATTTGCTCTTTTTCCATTTTAATATGAGATATTAAATAAGAAACAAACAGCAATGACCGTGATCAGGTTTGGTATCATTTCTTTAAACTTAAAAACAATGATTGTGAGTAAAATGATGCTCTGCTTATTCAGACTTTAAAAGTGGATTAATCAGGAGCTACTCATCTGTAATGAGTAACGTTAATCTCAGTTAACGTTACACCTACACAAATGTGACTGTGCTTTTGCTGTAGTATGAGCATTCATTTGCTATTTCTGTCACATCACGTCAGTAAAGCAATTTAGATAATTTAGATGAAGTCCAATTTAGGTCATTTGTATTACAAAAAGTAACAGCTATAACATTGTACACGTGGATACAGAGCAAGGCCATATTTATAAAATAGAGAGCAGCTGAAGTGTCTGCAATTCTTGCCAAACTATGTATAGATTTTACAGTTAAAACCAGAAGTTAATGTATACTGAAAAAAAAAAGACACATTTACTTTTTTTCCTCACCTTCTGAGGTTAAATCAGAATTACCAGATAAATGCCAGAAAACATAGTAATATATTTTTTGGGAACTTAATGTGAAGTCAGAAGTTTGCATTTTGTCAGCATCAGGGATATTTGTTTTAAACTGTGTGGTTTGAGTCACTGTGGCGGCGCAGGGGAAAAAGCACAACCCACATATTGAGGCCTTAGTTCTCGTGGGGATGGTTGCAGGTTCAATCCTGCCTGGTGACATTTGCTGCATGTCTTTCTTCTTTCCTATTAAACTACATTGCAACATAATTGCAACAATATTCAATATTTTCATTTTAAATAAAACTTAAATGCAGCTACTTTCTACATGCTTGAATCGCATCAAGACAGCGACTGCTGCTGCTCAATAATTACCCCAGGCTGTCCATCGCATTGAATTGTGAGAAGCGTTTTGTTTTCATCTGACAAAAGCCTGATTCATTAGATCATCAGCATTCTGACTGACAACTGCAATACTCAGCTGGCTGGAAGACTTGCGTTCAGGCATATGTCAATGCTGTCTACTGTTGATGGACCCTCATCTAAATGTTTTGTGGCACCTCTGCACTTAGCGTGGAGAGTGATGACGGTGATGAGAGCTGAAAAACTGTGATTTGTTGTTTTTTTTATTGTGCTGTGGCCAGCAGATGGGTGCTGTCTGCTCCATCCCAGCGCTCCTGCTGTATGATGACAGCTCAAGAATCCAGCCATTGAACACACAACAGATGGGGTATTTTCCATCTTCTACCCAGTTCTCATTAGGCAGCCAAACAACATATAGTGGGGGTTGAGGAGTACAGGCATGTTTTCTAATTAAACACGAAGGGAGAAAAAGAAACAACAGAAACACATTTCCTGATATAAAGAAGTTTCTTGTATTCTCTTAGGTTGGCATGTAGAACACAAGGAGATGGAAACATCTCCAGTTATGCCAAGCTTAGTTTTGCTGGTTCACGTGAGGAATGTCTTTGTTTTGAGGTAATCATAGCTGAGTATTAGAACAGATGGTATTTGGAGAGTAGTGTAGCGGAAGGACGAGTTATTGTTGACTTTGGGAAGGATGGTGGGAGGGGGTGACGGAGATGCCGTCTTCTCCTCATGACTCTGTGGGAGTCCTTACTGCAAGTGGTTTAATTACCTTCAAGGCTATTCTGAGTTTTGGAACAAGATTTTTATTTATTGTAGTTCACTGCAGGGGTTGAAAAAAGACTGAAATGCAAGGCCCAAACTTTTTTCATTTATATTTCTGTATAGGAACAGCTGAAAACAGTTATGTACATACTTTGTTAAAACAACAGAAATGCATCTTTCTAACCGTCTGACATTAGAATTCTAACTTTCCTTAAAGTTAAAAATGTACCTAAAGTTACTTAATGTTTGGTAGAATTGCCCTTTAAACTGTATGACTCGGGTCAAACAGTTTTGATATCCGTTGTCAAGCTTCTCACCACAGCTTAGAGAAATTCTGCCTCGTTTCTCCAAACAGAAATGGTGTAATTGAGCCACATTGCTCACACAGATCTGCTCACAAACTAACTATTGACCCTTTGCAACTACATCACTTCATCATGCAAGGTGTCATGATGGATGCCAGAAGTGAGGGAAGGGAGTTTTGCATGGGAGAACTGAGATTGTTTTTGCCAGCATAGCCATGGCTTCCACTTGTTTAAGTCGAGCTAATTTGTCTGTGGAAGTACCAGACATAGTTGGGGCTCTTGTGGTCAGCAGTGTTTACAAAAGTTGAAAATAGCTAGCTTAGAAACCGACCCTTGCCTTCTTCCTCCTGATGTGTTGATTGGATCAAATTGCCGACTTTTAAATAGTCTAAAAAAGTCTAGATTCTCACCAGTTTGCTAGGCTACATGATGGTGGGGCATTTTCTCCATGGTTACTAATGATTAGACACGTACCTTCTCCATAATTTAATGTTATTTGCATCTTACTAATCATTCTTATAAAGGATATGAATGTTAATTGTCTTACCTTGTAAAAAGTGTTTGCTGTGAATACGCAGATGTCTGCCAGTCCTTATGATTGACAGCTGCTGTCCTTCTCTGTTCTTACCTCATCAAAAGGTTTACGTTAAAATAACAAGTTTGGTTTGCATCCTTGTCTGTTTGTGCAGTCCACCACACAGCACCCATGACCACTTTTACAGTGAAATTGACTGAATGAAAATGATGTAAGGCTTACCAACTCGCTGTTTCTGGCACGCTTTACAGGAATACATAGGTTTATGTAGTGGACCGCTTTCTGAAGAGCATGACACCATGTGAAAACTGTTAACAGAATAGTCCTTTGTGATGGCCATGCCAAAACATGGACTTTGTTGTCCTTAAGAGACATCATCATCTGTTCATATTCCCTTAGGGACGATCATTTCAGACCAGAACGGGACCCATTTCCTTCCTGAACGGTGCAATGCCCGGGCGATCCCAGAACGTTTTCTTGCATTGAATTATTCGTGCAGATGAATCTGACACCTTGAGGAATCTAGAGTTGTTAAAAATTACCTTAAAGATTCTTTTAAAACATCCATGGCATCATCATCTTCCCTTTCCCAAAATGTTTCCATGAAAACTTTTAAATGTCTGATTTCAGCAGAAGAAAAGAAATCACACACATTGGTCGTTTGTATTCCTAACTGACGTAAAACAAGAAATTCTTAATTTTGTTTGACGTTAATGAGAAAAATACTTTTTTTTATTGTCTATGTATGTATCTTGTCTCATAACTTATAAAAAGTCGTCTTTCACTGTTCACACACCAACTTGGATGATAGTCTACTTTTTATCAACAGGCACACTCTTTTTTAAAATAATTTCTTAAGTAAGTGTACTTTCTGTACCCAGAAATATAATCCTGCTTCACCTTCCTAATATTAGGCAAGGAGAAAGTCTGGGATCCTCAGATCTAGATCTGACAAGAAGACAGGCCCTGTGCCGTGACATGCATAGAGCCAGTTCATGATTATTAGATGTAATTTTGTGCCCACCATCCTGTGCTTGTATAATATGAGCAAAATTCCAGCCGTGCAGGTGTTGGAAAGTGAGCTTAGGAAATCTTTAACTACTTTTACATCAAATTGGAGAACTATGGAGGTGATGTAAGGCATTTGGAAAAACTTGATAAAGTCACATAGAAGTGGAAAATGAAGCACTTCCAATATATCAGTCTGAATTTTTATGTTTCGATTGGAAGTTTTATTTTTAGTGCAGCTCCTGCTGAATACGCTTCACATCTACTCAATTGTGGTCCAGTTTTAGGTATAAAAAGACATTATGGAGAAGGATTGTGTTATGGTGACATTCAGAGACTAGGAGGTGTAAATATATAAATGTGTATATATTATATTTCAGCCTGTGTGTCTATTTCTAACCCTGCTGGAACCCATTGTAAAATAAAGCATACTTCTACTTCTATTTCAAAACACACTATAAATTCAAGCTTGTGTGCCCAGTTCTTGTTTAGAGAAACCACAAAAGATGTTCATAAAACTTAAAAAAACTTAGAAGTACAAAAAAAAGTATCTTCTTCAAATTGGCAGGGGGGCTGTAGATGGAGGAAACCCACCCAGGCACGACGCCAAGCTTCTTACAGAGAACCCCCCTCTGAGAATCCACCGAAGAACCCCCTGCTGTGATCCAGCCATGCTAACCGTGAGTCAAACGAGGTGCTGCGTTCTCTATATGGACACATATCTGTAATTTAATTCGTCATTATTGAAGCGATGCCTGCGGCGTCAAACCTACATGTCTATATTATGCGCTATATATCTGTATTTCTGCCCTTGAGTACTTCAATACAGAAAAGAACTTCAAAGCTGGTCAAATACAGAAAAACACATTAAAAGCTGAACACATTCTGTGGGTATATAATAGACAGGAAAGTTACCTTGTACGATCCAGATTGGGAATTTTATGACTTTTTCAATCTACTAAAGACAAAAGAAACCAACATCAACCAGAATGAAGTTTTATTTTTCAGCCTCCACTAAAGAACTAAAGAACTTTTTGCTAATGTGTGATTAAACTACAGTTGGTAATTTGACATGTGTTCATTTAAAGACCCTAATCTGCGTTAATACGCCAATGAATGTAATTTAGGACTGTGCACGAGACATAATAATGTCCTGTTTGTTGCCCACAGCTGGCGGTGCTTTATATTCCAGTGTGTCAGTCAGGCTATGTGTTTATTTGCATATAGAGTGGGGAAATGAGATCTGATCACAAGTGGTCACTTGAGACGGATGCAGACACATTCTAATGGCAAGTGTGAACTGACATACTTAGAGCCGTCCCCTGCGTGATCCTATGACCCGCGGCGCATGTTAATGTCAGGTGTGAATGGAGCTTTTGGTGCATTGAAGCTGCACGGTTCAAGCAAGTGAGATTTTCTACAATGGCTTGCTTGAGTTTTTGTAATGCAAAAACATTTAAAAAAATATTTGTAAAAATTTGTAATCTGAATTTATTTTACAAACAAACTGTGCTGGTCATTAGCATACTGACCCTTATAAAAATAACTCTGACTTTAATCTTTATTAGAATTTTGAAACAATTTGATTGAACATGAGGTAACAATGATGCAAACAATTGTCAACTGAGTAGGTTTGTGGTTAAATGAAAAATTCAGCAAAACTTCCCAATTTCTTTTTTCGATTAATTGATTAATCAGAATTATCGATACAACAATCATCAGTCGCAGCCCGAGTGTCTTTGATGGTGTTTGGTTGCACCCGATTTTATTTTGGCATTTTAAAAATGAGATCAAAGATTTTATTTAAAACCTTAGAAATCTTGCTGAAAATCAAATAATTTCCCTTCCACTGTATCTGAATTGGCTTTATATGTTTAAAGAATCCTGCAGTTTTGTTTCTTCAAGATATTAGAAGGTGACCAGGAGAAAAAAAAAGAGTTTTAACCGTTTATCTAGTTTATTAGAATAACTGACCTGGGATTATTCTGCTTTGTTCTTTTATCTTGTTTCAGTGAGATGACATTGTGGAAGTATTGACTCTGGTTGGCTGAACTTCTAAACTGCTGGCACTGCTCTCCAAACTATGTGTCTCCTTCAATTTTGTGGAGCCTCCAGGGTGTGTTGCACAGTTAGAGGATTGCCCCGCTTGTGAAGCTGATCACACTAATCTGCTTTCTTTCACCTACAGAGCTAGGTCAAAGCATCCACGAGTCTGCCGGCAGGAAGCGCCTATTTATAGAGCCGTTTCCGATCAATCAAACGTATTTCCACAGTTATGGTAAAAGACGACGGTGTCGTTTGTCAGAAAATCAGAAGCTCTGCCATTTTGCTGCATTTGATTCCGAGAGGAATGGCAAAAGTGGAGTGATTTATATTTTAGCGCTGAATAAACTAACAAACTGCTACGCATAATCAAGAGAACTGAGAAAAACTATTTGAATTCCAGGAAAAATGTGAGAAAAGAAAGAGCTGAAATGAATACAACACCAGAAACTAATTTAGTTCATAAAACCTCATGTTCATTGGCACTTCACCCAACAAGTCATTTTATTTGCCAACTTGTATATAATATATTTTATGTGTTTGAACCTTTTATTTGATGTCTGTTCAGCACTTTGGTCAGTCTTGCTGGAAATGTCTGTGGGGAAAAAAGATATTCATATAAAATAAAGGTTGTTTACAAGCTGTTAAGTCATTTGATCACTTATTTCAATGCAAGTTTTATGTTCAAATAATACATAAACTCATTTTCTTTATGTAATGTTGAGTAAATAAAACCAATCTCACTTTTATTATTGTCATACATAGCATACAGCATTTTTAACAACTGAAGGTAACACAGTTGCTTGATTTGGCTGGAAAACGACGCTCTGCCTGGAAAATACATTAAATATTCAGAATGAAAATAGGTGATGCACAAACTTTATAAACATAACAAGATTTCTTCACATTTAAGTGCACAAAAAACACATTAAGAGATACTACAACTTAACTGACAATGCAGTGGTACTTTCATTTGCAGATTTACAAGCTAAGGAGGATTAAAATAAAGTCAAAATACACAGGAAATGTACAAATTTAATAATAATCAAATTAATAGAAGTGCAACGTCTGCCTTAAGAATAGCAGTAGCTCTGATTTTGTTCTTATGAACTCTTTAAACTTCCCCAGAGACATGAAAACATTCAGCTTTTGTATGCTCTGAAGATTATTCCATGACCAAGGTTTCAGAAAAAGAAACAAATATACTCCATCTATACAACTTTTTCTATTAAAACAAGCAACAACCTTCATCTTTCATACCTCTGTCCAGGGATTCAGTGTCTAAAGCTTTTACAAGCAGCTGAATTCACAGACCTTCAGGGATGACAAATTAATCTGAAACTGAACATCTTGTGACAGTTCTGGACTTTTTGTCATCATGTGGGAAAATCTCAATCAACCTGATGAGGCTCTTGGGATTCATTTAGAAACACATGTAAACAACAGTAAAATGGTTCTTTATTCCCCTCTGAGTATGTTGCAAACTTGTGTGTTTTTTTGTCCATATTTTACCTCCAAACTTAACCTTTTTCTTCAGCCTGTTGAGGTTTTTGGACTTGAAGTTTAAATCGGGACAATTTGAGACACCCATGAATCAAAAACATGGAAACGCAGCGAATTTTGAGGGGATTAAAGATTAATGTAGACTATTATTTTTTAAATGTGCAAAACATATTGACAGTATCTTTAGCTTTAAAATCTGACTGCCCTCACCGCGGGTTGGAATCACTCTCCTATAAAAAAAGGAGAGTGATTCCAAACCAGAGCATGAGATGCTTCATCAGAGAGGAGTAAACCCAAACGCTCAGCCTCATTAAAATATTTTAGGTTCATAAAATCCTGTTATGTCGGTCTAACTTTCGGTATCTGCCAGCTGCTTCGTTCTGGCCACAGATGTTCTCTTCCCAAATCAAAACCACCAGATACAGGCTGGAGTTTGTCTCATTGGGTACTGTTGAAACTAAATAAAAGTATTTTAGGTGAATAAAATACTTCAATATATATTATACAATTATTATAGACATAGATTATTGCCAGTTAATCAATTAATTGAATCTAGAATTTGGCATATTCTACTCAATTTTAATACAGTATTAAAATATAACAAAAGATGCAAATTAATCATTTCCTTGTTTTCAAAAGAAAATAAACATTTTATTGCCTAAAATGCAATAACAAAGCTAAAACTCTGCCACTTGAAGAGCTTTGGCAAAAACATAATTATGGACAATGAAGGATCTTTCTTTATTCATTTAAATGCAAAATGTATATATTTATTGTGCAGTTTTGGTTTAATTACTTTTCTGAATGTGTTGGTTTTTCATGGACTTTTTTGAGTCTGTAAACTTTAGTTAATGACTAAGAGATTGCAAAATTATTTGATGCACAATTTGTAATGTTGTATTTCCAAATTTTGGTGTATGTTACTTGATTTTTTTTTCTGCTAGGCCAATATAAAGTAGTGCATAGTTGTGAAATAAAATATAAATTTAAAAGTTAAAACGTCAACTAAAAACTTGAAAAGTGTTGAGTGCTTTTGCATTCTGTTCTTTTTACTTTTGATGCCTCTAATAAAAATCCAGTGCAAATCAATTCAGGAGATTGGAATAAGTCATGCACATTAAATTTGTACTTTATGGATTGGAACAACAAAAGTCAATTGAAAGAGTGTCTTATCAAGTGCAGGTTTCCACAAACACCAAACAGATATTTGAACTTTTTGACCAACATAGAAAAAGTATTGTAGCTTAAATAAAAACCACATGACCATGGAGAAGTAAAATGTCTCCCAAAAACAAATATTTTTATCTTCTCTGATGTTGAAGTTCTAAATTTGAAGGAAAAAAAAAAAAAACGTCTCATGCATAAATTTGGTATAAGAATATATTCAAGAGGTTTTCATGCTTTCCAAGACAGTGTATCTGTTGAGAAACTTTACTGGGGATTTCAATGGTTATGTTAACAGATTTAAGAGTACCCAGAGACCAGAAGTAGAGTGAATAGGTCCTGCTGATAATCAGTCACTTCAATACACAGGATGAGATGTTTAAAGAAACAAAAGAAAGGCTCCTGATCCAGTCGGGCTCAGAGGCAGTGTGAGCTCCTGTCGCCTGCTGCAAACAGCTAATGTTTCGCCCCCTCTGCTAATAGCGCATTCGATTTTAACGGCTCTGACTTTCTGCTGATGTCAAGCTTACCAGCCGGATCAAAGCATGCATCGCTGGGCCTCTGCTCCGTTCTCGGAACAATGAGGGTCAGCCGCAGAGAGGCGGCCGCAGCCAAACAGCATCTTGACTTTTCACCTAACCAGAAGGGAAGAAATAAAGCATTTTGTGCCTGTTTACAAAGGATTGTTTGTTGCCTGCAGTCTCAGAAGATGTTTTGCTGAGCTTGAGTACAGTAAGTAAGTAAACAAGGGGGCTGGAGCAGGAACAGAAAACTCAAATAGCAAGGAAGGAGAAAATAGGGAAACAAAACTGTTACAATATTCTAAATAAGAAATGTTCCTGAGACAAAAATATTAATTAATGTGATGTTTTTGTAGTTCCTATTGATTTAGATCATGGTCACGGTAAAGGTCAGCATGTCATACAGATGCTATATATTTATTCACCATTTTAAAGCTTCTATGTTTATC